GGTCCGCGACAGTACGCCAGCGGCTTTATTTTGATTACCTAGACGGTACTGGACATCGTAATAAAAACAGGATAGTTCAAGGCCCCATCTCTGGATTTTGTCGTTTTTCACTTTGCCTTTGTGATGTTTGTCGTGTATAAAGGCGAATGATCGTTGATCCGTAACAACTGTGTGAAGTGACTGCCAATTAGGTAGTGTCTCCATTTTCTCAGTGCCTCAACAACCGCGTACGCTTCCTTCTCGATTGCTGAATGATGACGCTCACGGTGTGACAGAGTGCGTGGAAAGAAAGCTACCGGGTGCTCATCTTGATTGAGAACGGCCTCAATGGCTATGTGGGAAGCATCAGTTTCCACAACGAGTGGACGAGCGTAGTCTATGATGAACACGGAGGCCTTTGCCAAATCGTGTCTGAGATTATTCAGTACAGTTTGTACGCTATCTCAAATGGGGAAGCTGTGATTGTGGACGGTTTGATGAATTTTATCTGAAATACATGGAATCCAGTGTGCGTAGTACGCCAGAGTTCCGGCCAACCATCCATGTAACATCCGTTTACAACGAAGATTGGTCGGAATGCTGGCATACTACACACACTGGGTCCCGTTTTTTTCAGATAAAATTCATCAAACCGTCCACAATCACAGCTTCTCCATTTGAGATAGCGTACAAACTGCACCCGGTAGCTTTCTTTCCACGCACTCTGTCACACCGTGAGCGTCATCATTCAGCAATCGAGAAGGAAGCGTACGCGGTTGTTGAGGCACTGAGAAAATGGAGACACTACCTAATTGGCAGTCACTTCACACAGTTGTTACGGATCAACGATCATTCGCCTTTATACACGACAAACATCACAAAGGCAAAGTGAAAAACGACAAAATCCAGAGATGGGGCCTTGAACTATCCTGTTTTTATTACGATGTCCAGTACCGTCTAGGTAATCAAAATAAAGCCGCTGGCGTACTGTCGCGGACCGATCACATATCTGCCATGTTACATATGGATCTCAAACACCTTCATAACGTTATGTCACCCCGGCATCGCGCGGATGCTTCACTCCTTTCGCTCGAAAAAAATCTGCCGTTTTCACCAGAGGACGTTGCGGCGACTACAAATCAATGTAGTATTTATTCAAAATTGTAGTCTCGTTCCTCAATCACCCTTTTAACAATCTTATCAAAGCTACACAACCGTTTGAACTCGTCAGCATCGATTTTAAGGGCCCATTTGCATAAAATTCGCACAACAAATACCTTTTAACAACGATCGACGAGTACTCCCGTTTCCCTTTCGCACGTATGAATTGCCGTCATCCACATTGCCCAAGTGTTTTAATCAGTTCTGTTTTTTCGGAATGCCTTCATACGTCCATTCTGATCGTGGGGGAGCTTTTATGTCAGGTGATTTACAAACGTTTCTTCACAACAGGGGTGTGGCATCCAGTCGAACTACCCCATACAATCCACGCAGTAACGGGCAAGTTGAACGACTTAACGGTACTCTTTGGAAGTTCATCACTCTGGCGTTGACGACCCAACAACGTTACTGACGTTACTGACTGGGAATGCGTGCCTCTAGATGCTTTGTACTTTGTTCGCTCCTTATTGTACACCGCTACTAACACAACACGAACGATTTCTTAAATTCCACCGGAGTTTAACGTGTGGCACCTCTCTTGTGACTTGGTTATCGACTCCAGACCCCGTTCTGTTAAAAAGGATGACATGTTCATCCAAATACGATCCGTTAGTGGAAGAGGTGGAACTTGTTCATTGCGACCCATAGTGTGTCTGCGTTCTTTTCTTGAGAAGAAAGGAAGAAACCGTTACTCCTAGACATCTGTCACCCAAAGCACAAAATATCTCCGATGTCTATTTAACTGAATCAATCGAAGGCGTAGCAGCTTCTCAAGACGAGGCTAAGTAACATTAGATTGATTCTCTTGAAGGCGAAACGGCACCACCAGAACAACTCAGTGAAATTCCAAAGAACGTTCTTACAGTACATCACAGACCAACAACGTGTTCGAATATATATTCTTCGAAACCGCAAACCCTGAGCTATATTCTCCTGACACTAACCCCTTCGGCTGGAAAGAATGTTATATAACAATATTTTAAACCGTTTTCTGCTATTCAATAAAATAACTGTTTCCCAATGCTTTCGCTGAAATTGTACTGAAATTGTTGGAAGATTAAAGCATATCATTTGGCAGTCTTCGTTCTCTATTTCTGGCCCAACCATTGGAGTGCACAACAGTTATTATCATTATCTTTAAGATCCTAATGACGAAGCCATCTGACGGTATCCTTGCCTGACTTTTTTATGCATCTCATGCTCAAAGCTGAACACTACGCTTCATAGGAATTTTTCTCTGTTATACTTTGACTTCCGGCATCCAAAAAGGTACATTTACGTCATCGTGCAATTTGCAATTCATCTCCGGACGTACGATGGTGCACTGGCTAACATAGGGCATGTTTTTTTACCGTGGAGATGGTTGGAAGAATGGAAATGTATCTTCCAGCGCATCACTGTAAATGTTTCTGGGAAACCAATAATGTCGTCCTTTGCACCTGCCATGTAGCATCTGCTAAGGAATTCGTATACACTGTGTCGGAGGCGGTTTACCAAGTTGAAAGGCTGGAAGCAGCCATCAGTTTTTATAAACTGGTTAGGCGAAACCACTACCGGCAAAATGATTGTGCCATCCCCTTCAGTTCTTGGCTGTATCCCCTTTCTACCCCACTTTGTTTTGATCGGAACGTTATCAGCTAGAAAAAACACCCTCGATACATGGTTTGCAGCTTAGAAACTAAACTGGATGGTATATTTGCGTTTATCAATTCGCCGTCCTCTAGACTATGGATTGACACAAGGACATTAGCCAGGCAATATCAACAGAACCAACTGAAAGCTTTCAAGAGGCGACTAACGTAATCCCAGTTATGAGCACCTGGCGTGGGCGTGGCTGTGTAAAGTTTGTGTTCACACCATGTAAGGGCATCTGTAAGATTAGTTCGACTAGATCAAGTGAACACGGTACAGTTAATGGTAGGAACTGATTCCAGAACATATATATATATATATATATATGGCTGGCGTGGAAACGGAAGTTAAGGAAGGGAGGAATTTCGTATTCTAGAATATGCATCTTTAGAACACCTGAGGATCAACACCTACGCGCTTCTCATTGTATCCACAGTGGTATACACAAGCTTTTATGCAACGCCATCTTCCGCTCCTCTCCAGATAACTATGCTAGGGCAGATAAGAACGATTCCCGCACTGGGCGTTTTTGCCTCTACTCACAGCGGTCTTGAGCTCATCTTGACGGAGGCGAACAAACTATTTCGAACACTGGTTTCTAACATCGGACAATGGTGGATATAAGCCAGTCGGCAAAGGCCACGAAAGATGCTTTCACCAGCAAGCCCATAGAAGCACTTTGTGTAGATACGATACGATGCAAAACGTTTGTGCTGAAAGAATGAGAAGACCGACGAGCTTTTTCGACTATGGATACACCAACTTCGCCACGCTTCCCGTTACTGGAACAGCCTCAGCAGTTAGTAATGTACTACTCATAAGGTTGCTGAAAATCCATCGACAGCCCATGACCGGTTTCGCCCTTCTTGGGGCTCATCAGGTAGGCGCAATCCTGGGATTTCCGTCAACCTTATGTTCTACTTGAAACCAAATTGCACGAAATTGGCGAATATACACTCATCTGCAAACTAATTTGGTTCTTTCGAGAGACTCACCTGGAACCCAGCTGAATCTCTCGTTTATGATGTTCTCGAGCAACTGAATGTGCTGCACCAGGCCACCTCTTGCTTCGGCCGCCAAGATATTTGAAATATCGCGATACATGTAGATTCGTAATGTACTACTCATAAGGTTGCTGAAAACCCAGACAGCCCAAGAAGGGCGAAACCGGTCGTGGGCTGTCGAT